AATAACCTCTCCTACACAAGAACAATGTAAACTGTTCATAAAACACTTCCTGTGCATTGCCTGAGTCCACTCAGCAGCCCCAGCTGGACAGTTTTTGTTGTGATTTCTTTACTCAGTTAAAGATGAGCAGGGGAAGCACAGAGGGGCAGAGGCATCATTTCAAGGTCTCAGGGTGGGATGCAGTGGGTTGGAGCTTGATCCAGGATCTCCTGGGCTCAACCACAATGTGCTGGATGCTTCTACTTCCTCCTGTTACTCTTGGATGCTTCGGGCCACGCAACGTAAAGCACCAGTTTGGATCCCTTTCCCTGTCAATGCGTCGTTACACATATACTTGTCCATATCAAAGCATATAACTCTACTTTTATCCCATGACTTGAAAGATTTCTTGTTCATGAAGAAATTTTCTGAAGAAAATCATTCACAAAGTACAGAAGTGTGAACTGGGCTTTCATCAGCGTTCACTGTGAAATTTCTTTTTGCCACAGCCCCAGGGGGTGGGGTTTGAACTGGCTCTCTGGGCCATTCGAAGAGAGACCCTGTATCAGTTCCCGAGGGGCAGACAGGCTCAAAGGATCTTTAATGGCTCCAGTTCTTGCTTGAGCCTATTTTGCAAGTGTGCTTTCAATCTTTCTGGGAAACAGAAGAAAAGATTTTTGGACTGCCCAGCTGTGTACCCTGAGGGAGGAACTTCCTTTGTGTCAAAGATGGAAGAGCGTCCATGAGCGTGTTAGTTGCATTATTTCATGGGTAACCAATGGATACAGTTCAGAAAGTAGTGCGTAGAGGTGTGTTAGAGTCACATTACTAGAATGAAGTGCCTGAGGCAATTCATTTATAAAGAGAAAAGGTTTAGCTTATGGTCTTAGAGGGCCCAGTCTGAGCCTGCATATCTCCATTGCTTTGGGCCTCTGGTGGGAATGCCAGATGGTGATAGTAGGTAACTGTTCTCGTGTCTGTGTTGGGAGCTAGGACACAGTGATCCCAAGTCCCTCCTCTCAGAGGTTCTACCCCACCTCTTGTCTATCTCCCCCCCCCCCCCCCAGCCACACACACACCTGGCGGCCTTGGAATCAGGAGGACCTGGATTGGACCTCTATCCTGACTAGCTCTGGGGCCTTGGGGGAGTTCTTTACTCTTTGGAAGCTTTGGTGTGAATACAGGGTTTCTAGTGCTCCTTTTCTTATAAGACAGTGGTGAGAGTTAAATGAGATCATATACACAAAGCATCCAACAAACACATAACTACAAACCCCAGTAACAATGCTGAGCAGATTTTTACATGTAGGTTTTTGAGCTTGACTGAACTAATTTGTGTGTGGATGTGATTTTCCTATCATCTACAAGAAGATAACTTTATTAATTTCTAATGTGATTGTCTTTGATTTTTTTCCCTCTTGCCAGTTGCTGACTAGAACTGTGAAGACTATGTTGAGTTGAATATTATGCTGAGTGGTGAGAGTGGCTGTCTCGGTCTTATTCTTCTTCATGATTTTGCAGGAAAAACTTTCATTTACCCTTGAATATGTATAATATTAGCTGTGTATGAAAACAGTTTTGGTTTTTTTGCCAGTCCTGTAGCTTGAACTCAGAGCCTGGGCACTATCCCTGAGCCTCTCTGTGCTCAAGGCTAGCACTTTACCACTTGAGCCATAGTGCCACTTCTGGCTTTCTCTGTTTATGTAGTATTGAGAAATTGAACCCAGGGCTGCACGCATGCTTAGCAAGTACTTGACCACTAAGCCACATTCCCAGCCTGAAAACAGGTTTTAAAAAGAATTTTAGGCTGGGTGCTGGTAACTCATGTCTGTAATCCTAACTACTCAAGGAGGCTGACATCTTAGGATTGTGTTTTGAAGCAAGGCTGGTCAGAAAGGTCTATGAGACTTATCTCCAATTAACCAGCAAAAAAAGTCAGAAGTAGAGGTGTGGCTTAAGTGGTAGAGCATCAGTCTTGGGCAAAAAAAAGCTAAGGGACAGCACCCAGACCCTCTGTTCAAGCCCTAGTACTCTTACAAAAAAAAAAGCCTTAAGAAGTTGTGTGCCCTTTTATTCCCAAGCCCCCAGCACAGTGTCTGATACATAATCATGATTTAATGGATAAAATGTGTGAAAAATGGTGGTTTCTCAAAACTGAATGAGCTGAAGGTACTTCTTCATTTTAATTTTTGGTCTTGGTGTTTGAACTCAGGGCTGGTGCTTGCTCTACTACTTGATTATACTCCAGCCCCTGCCAAAGGAGCTTCTGGGCAGAGGGTTCACTTGGTATTGTTTTATTTTATTCTATTTGTCGGTCATGGGGCTTGAACTCTGGGCCTGGATGCTGGCCCTCAGCTCTTCAGCTCAAGGCAAGCAGTCTACTACTTAAGCCATAGTGCTACTTACGGCTTTTTCTGCTTATGTGGTGCTAAGGAATCGAACCCAGGCCCTCATGCATGCAAGGCAAGCACTCTACCACTCAGCCATCTTTCCAGCCCCACTTGGTATTGTAAGGGTAGTAAGGACTAGAGGTTGGTGACAAGCTCGATAAAGTGTTGTCAGGTGACCTACTGGCAAGGAGCAGGTCACAGAACCGCCACGGATCTCACTACACTTTGCTTGGAGACCTTTTGATTTATTCTATTTTCTCTTCCCTCCCTCCCTCCCTCCCTCCCTCTCTCTCCTTCCTTCCTTCCTTCCTTCCTTTCCTCTCTTTTTCTGTTGTCTGTGTTTTTGAACTCTGGGCACTGTCCCTGAGGTTTTATGTTCAAGCCACAGCTCTACTTCCAGCGTTTCCAATAGTTAATTGGAGATAAGAGTCTCCCACGTTTTTCTGCCCAGGCTGGCTTTGAACTATAATCCTCAAAGCTCAGCCATCGGTGCCTGTTTATTCTATTTTCTATTGTATTTATTTGGGTACTGAGGGTTGAACTAGTGCTTGCTAGGCAAGTGCTCTACTAATTGAGCTGTCCGCCCAAGATCAAGCCTTGTGTTTTTTCCCTGGGGCCTGTCTGAGACTGAAATCCACTTATCTCTATCCCTCTTTCCCAGGTGGGATTGTGTGTGGTGTGAGCTACCACTCTTGGCTTGTTTAAGATGAGGATTCACTAACTTTTTGCCCAGGCTGTCCTTCACCCATGAACCTCCTGCCCTCTTCCTCCTAAGTAACTTGAATTACAGGTATGAGCCACTGCAGCCAGCTGAGTGCATTTTAGAGACACCTATCTGTCTGGTTATCTTTCTCTCGTCTATATTAGCACTTAACAGCTGGAAGAAAATAACATATGTTATATCTCTTTGTATTTATGACTGCTGAATAAATAACTTATAGCCCACTGGGTACACAGAAAACGAGTGAAATGCTATAAATTATAGATGAAATTGCGAATGCTGCTGGAGTGTAGCATATGCCTTGCTTTGGCACAGATTTGAAATGGTGTAGCTGATTTAAAGGGCTTGAGTCTGTTCGCCTTCATTTTAATTTGGAAACGATTGGATAGCATCGAGTCACAACTGGAATCTCGTTAGTCATGCCATGTCCTCCTACCGGAACCTAGCCCCTCAACTTAAGAGCAGATAAAAATTCAGATTAACTGTTGTCTTAGCGTGGAAACTGAACAATGTTATTTAATGTGTTGGTGTTTCTCTTCATTTGGACTCCTAACAAGCAAGTTCTAAATATGAGCTAGCATGTTCTTCCTTTCCCTTTTTAACAAGGTCAGCTGAGATGCAGATTTACACAACATGTTCTGTAAATGCAGAACGTGTTAATAACTTTGAAGAGGCACCAGGATGGAGTGGAAAGAACAAACCTTTCTGTCTCACTGAAGGATTTTTCTGACTGCAAATAATTGAAACCTCGCAGCTTGTGCCAAAGAGGATTTCAGCACACCCCAAAAAGATATTCTCGGGATACAAGCCTGTTTTGTAGGACCCAAGGGAAGAAGCGGTAGCCAGCTCATGGGACTGCAAGCCCTGGGACCAGAGGCCTCTCCATCTGTCTCCAGGCAACATGGCCTCACCTCTCTCTCTCTCTCTCTCTCTCTCTCTCTCTCTCTCAGCAGACTGGCTTCTCTTTGTACATAGCTGCTCCAGCTGCCCAGCTCTGGCTTTTTATATTTTTTATTGCTCCAGTTCAAGGGCCAGCTGAGGCTGCCTGGCATCTCAGATTTCCAAATTCCTGGAAGACAGAATCTAGTTATCTCATCTTGAGTCAGATGACCCCTCTTAACTTGTTCATGTATTAATGCAAAAAGTCTTTACTGTAGGGTTCCAGGAACTGTTTTAGGCACTGGGGATATATCCTGCCCTTGTGTGAGGGAGAGAGGGGGGAGAGGTTCTATTCATTCTTTCAGGGATGGGTAGAGAGTTTCAATTTGCAAAGAAAGGGAAAGAGGTAAGCGTTTATTTGGGTAGACTTGGAGTCAAACCCTGATTCTTCCCCTTCCATAAACTTTGTGCTACCTAAGGCATGTCAAACTATTTTCTATAGCCTCATATTTTTAATTAGCTAAAAGGGAATATTCCATTAGAATCTAGCTATGAGAACTGAAGTGAAATTGTGCTTGTAAAGCCAGTGGCATGTGTATGTGACAAACCTGTCTGAATCTGTTTCTTCATCTACAAATGGAAGACTGTATCATCTACCTCACATGCTCATTAGGATAACCCAATCATGTCGTGTGCCAGGTGTTAGGAATTGTACCTAGTGGACACCCACTATGGTCCCTATCCCTTTTGTAATTAATCACATATTTTTTTGTCCATTATGGGACTTGAACTCAGGGCCTGAGCACTGTCCCTGAGCTCTTTTGCTCAAGACCAGCGCTCTGCCACTTTGAGCCACAGTATCACTTCTACTTTTCTGGTGGTTTATTGGAGATAAGAGTCTCACAGACTTTCTTGCCCAGGTTGGCTTTGAATCGTGATCCTCAGATTTTAGCCTCCTCAATAGCTCAGATGATAAGCATGGGCTACCACTGCCTCGCTAATTAATCACATTTTGGTTTTCTGTATTCTAGTTTCCATTTGGCCGACGCTTGCCTTGTGACATCTACTGGCATGGAGTTTCATTTCATGACAATGACATATTCTCTGGTCAAGTGAACAAGTTTCCAGGTATCTGCTGTTATTGTTGACATTTGAAAGTGTTTCTGGTGTTTCTACCACCTATAAAAAAAAAAAAAAACCATGACAGTGTGTTGAGCTCAAACTTGAAGACTCTTAATTGGGAATTGCTGCCTGTGTGTTCTGCTGCATTGCTGTTGTCATGGGAGGAAAGTTAGCACAGAGATAATCAGGACTTAAGCCTCCCAGGACTTCAAGAGTGCAGACTAGCTTTTGCAGACATTGAGACAGGCTTTCTTGGTCTAATTCCACTGGTGGGAGAATATGATTTTTCACTTGTTAGGTTATAGATATAATATAGGGGGGGGGTCTAGTGATGAAACTATATGCTCCAAATGAACTGGAACATTCCTCCCATGGGAACTAAAATTCTAGGAATGTATCCTATAAAGGAAGTATCAGTTTCCCCCCTCTTTAATGATCTTATTTGGAGATAACCATTTTCAAAACCAGATTCTCTAGTCTGCATTCTAAGTGCCCTGGGCTATAGGCAGCCTCAGCTAGTACATAATGACACAGGCACTCACCAGAAAATTGCCACTGCCAACACATCGGAACATCCGTCACCTCCTCCTGCTATGGTCACTATTTTTCATTGCTTTTGTTCATGCCTATGTGAAGTCAGAGGTTCGGGGTAGTGGGACAGTTAGGGAGAAGGAAATACTTGGTTAAGTTTCTCCACCCACAGGGTCTTATATTTAGTTATTTTACTGCACAGAATATGGTATAATATATTTTTTTCTGTCAGTTGTGGGGCTTGAACTCTGGGCCTGAATACTGTCCCTCAGCTCTTCAGCTCAAGGCTAGCGCTCTACCACTTGAGCCACAGCACCACTTCTGGCTTTTTTTTCTGTTTATGTGGTGCTGAGGAATTGAACAGGGCCTCATGCATGCAAGGCAAGCACTCTACCACTGAGCCACCTTCCCAGCCCTGGTATAATACATTTTTAAAGGGAACATCACCCTGAATCTCATCCCTCATCTGCCAAAATAACAGTGTGCCTATCTTTTATATTTCCTCCCAACCTTAAATGTATTTATCCTTTTTATATGTCAGCATGTAGTTGGCTGAATAGAGATGGTTTTTCTTAGTATAATTCCATCTATATACAAAAGAATTCCATCTATATACAAAAGAGAGCATTAATTTCCTCACTTATCTTTGGCATTCTATATTATATCTTTAAGAAGACCTTGCTCAGGAAACCCAGTACCTGCAGGTCATACACTGGCTAGTTTTACCATCTCTGCTCAGTGGTTTTCAACTTAAGCATGGAGATTTTCCAAGTTGCTGCCGTAGGCCACAGGTAGCTCATAATCATTTAGAAGATGCATGATCAAGAAACACAGCTTATCTTCCACTCAGTTACAGCCATATCTCTTCAGTAGAGTATTTGTAACAATCTCAGGGTCTAGTCTCTAGACAGGATCCATGTCTGCCTTGGCTTAGGTGCTGCATAGGAGTCAGTAGCTCTCATAATTGCTCCACAGTCCACCTTTCAAGTTCCCTCCAAGAACACATCTCACCACACTCACGAAAGCCTGGAGCTATGGCTTCCAACCAGGTATTACCAATCAGGAGTCATTTGAACTATGTGCTTTGTGGTGGAATAACACAGCGAGCCGTATACCTTTATTGGTTTCCAAGGGAACAGAGATGGAAGTTACCCCAAGGTCAAAGTTGTTCTTAGACGAGGAGAAAGGGTTTTGTTAAGAGAATACCACTTTAATGCTATTTTCTCTGCCTTGCTGCTCTTGCTCAGAGAAAGGTTTCTTCCTGATGCCACTAAAAAGACTTCCTGAGATTTGGGAAGACACGATTTAGATGAGAACAACTCTTTGAATTGAAAACAGAGTTGCTCAAACATGAGGCTTCTTCCACATTTTCTCCATCTGCTTCCGAAGAAATCACTTAAATGGTGGAGAGTGGTGAGAAGCAGCTATGGCTGTACTCTAGGAAAACAAAGGAGAAATATAGAAAGAAGTACTCCCAGAGAAATAGGTTTATGAACGGTGATAAAGGAATCTTCATTCCAAAGAAACAAGTTGGCCCCTTCCCAAATTCCCCATGCCAGTGACTGGAACGTGTAATTTTCCACTTTCCTAATAGTAATTGATCTGCTGTACAAGTAGGCCTTAGATCCTCTCAAACGAACACACAGCACTGCACATCCTCTACCCTATGACAGATAGCAAGCCTCAGCCCCAGGGTAGTTCCAGAACCTTCTGTTCTTTGATATGAGTTATATCCAAGTTTTTCTTGTGTCTCTCATCCCATAAGTATGAAAATGCATTCTCCAGGATTGGTCTATAACTTAGCATAATAAGCTCTGGTGAATGTATCAGATATGTATAGACACGTCATGTACAGCAAAACAAAAAACTTCTGGGTATACATACACATGTAATATATTTTATTTGTGTCACCACATTAGGTTTTATTTGGGTAATTTCTTTGCTTAAAACACATTATTGTATCTTAACTGAGCTAAGACTTACTATAAAAATAGCTGTGTCTTTGCTTTAAGATAATCCCAAATGATCGATTCTCAGCTTCTAAAGAACAGTTAATTATTGAGTTCCGTGGTCTGAGATATTTGGTAGTCCAGGGTAGATGAAGTAGAGCTTCAGTGAGGCATCTGTGGCTTTTGGCTGGATGTCTGGGCTCTGGGGACACAGAAAGACAAGAAGAAAGGTGCGCAAGAGAATAAAGCACGATGTTAGTGTGACTCCAGAGGTAGCTTGGAGTACCTAGGAGTCCTGAGTGAGCAAGGACACGCAACCTGATCCAGCTTTGTGTGGGTGTCAGGCAGCGTAAGAGATCCTGAAGAAGATTGGCTTATGAGCTGAGCCTCCAGGAATGAATGCCCGCCCCCTCCCCAAGTGCCAATCAGGGAACAAAGGCACGAAATTCTTTGTGCATGCTGCTCATGCAGTGAAGGACAAGTGACACAGGATGTCTCAAGTGGACCCGATGAATGGGGCAATGAAGTGACAAGCAGAGGCCTGACACATCACTGTCATAGCCAGAAGGGTTTGAGAACCACTGAGACACTTACATGAGACAATAGCCCAGGCCAGCTTGTCTTTCAGAAAGATCATCCTGAGGGCCACATTGGCAGTGGCAGAAAAGCTGGGAGGAAATGGGTTTAGCTACGAGGTGGAACCCAGGCCGAAGATGAACTAATTAGTAACAGTGGGAACAAAGGAAGAGGAGGTGAATCCCAAAAAAATATTTGCTGTAGCACGTTTTATCAATGGTGATTACAGAGTACTCCAAATACATATAGCTCAGTCTGTTTTTGCTTTGACGGGGCTGTGTGGGGAAACCTGAGGACTGGTCTCCTGGTTGATTCCAATGCTTTAAGACCCTCAGGCCTTGCATCTCCAGGGTAGCAGACAGAACTCAGACCTCAGGAAGCATGCCCATGGTGTCAGAAGCTCGGCCTGAGTTAGTTTCTCCATCTGGTAAGGGAACAGCTGCTGCAGAAACATCTAGAGATAGACCTTACTGAGAAACTTAGGAAGTCAGTCAGCCTCCATAGAGCCTGTTAGTAAGTAGCAAGACCCTGGACAGTGGGCTCACATTACAGGCAGGAGGAGTCTACCTTTTGGGTAGACTTAGAGGGAGCATAGATGAGGGTGAAAAGAGGAGGTTCATTGACGAGAACAAAGCAAAACCTCAGCTCTACGTGCTGCTCAGGTGGCCGTTCAGTCCCCAGGAGTAAAAGATAGATGACCAAAATGGAGGATGAAGCCATAGAGCCTCAGAAAAACACATGATTGGTACACCAAGTCAAGTTCAAGTTTTAGCAGAGAGGACCAGATAGTTAGATCTAGAGCCGAGAGAGGGGATACCTTGGGTAGGTTGGGTGCTGCGACTGCTAAGGGAAGAGGCCAGTCCTGACCAGCAGGAATGTGGCATAAGATGCCGCCACTTCTCCCATCCATGTCTGAGTGGCTAGAGGCAGGAATGACAGTAGCTTCTATGGCAAATCTTGTGAGTTGCCTGTGATTCTTTTCCTGGCAGCCCTGCAGGGATACAGAGCTGGGCTGGGGGGGGGGGGGGCTGTTTTGGTGACTAGTGGATATCAGACATTCCTTCAAGCAGGGTTCTGACAGCCAGAGGGCAGGCAGTGTTAGGGATGGGCAGCGTTTGACCTTTAGGACACAATTGAAGTTAGCTGCTTTCAGTGGAGAACTCCCTAGAGACACAAAGGTAAACTTGGAAACCAGATCTGTTAGCAGTGGGGAACTAAGGATGCATGTTACAAAAGGAACCATTGGCCAGGCGCATGCCTTGTCATCCTAGCTACTCAGGATGCTGAGTATGGTGGTTTGAAACCAGCCTGGGCAGGGAAGTCCATGATACTCTTATCTCCAATTAACCACCAAAAGTCTGGAAGTAGAGCTGTGGCTCAAGTGCTAGAGTGGTTAAGTATTAACTTCTTGCTAGACAGGTGCTCTACTGCTGTGCCACAACTTCAGCCCTTATTGAGCTTTTTGATATGCCAAGGGAAGGGAGAAGTTGTAATTCTAATCTTCCTTCTCAGATGTTCATTTGGTTCCTGAACATGAGGGTCAAGAGAAACATCATTATCTCTGACTGGGCCCATTTTAAACATGTGATGATTGGGGCATGCCAAGCTACGGGGAACTCTAATTTCTATTAGAGATAATTGTGCCATGCTCATTTCTAATGACAGTCATGGACCACTTTAATCTCTTTCAGGATACAGGTTATTTTTAATATGCATTTTTAGCCTTAAATAAGCAGGCTAAATTTTGTAGTTCTTTTTAACCTATTTCTTAAAATTTGCTAAGATAAACAATATTGTTTCCTTGCTTGCCAGAGATACCAATGATGTTACAAAAATAATGTCCACCATTATTTCTTAAAGTATGTTTTAGATGAGACACTTCAGTTTCCTCTGGTCAAATTAATGAAAGCTGATCAATGTCAATATAAGTACTTAGAACTAAGAATTCCTATGAATTACATTCTCCCCACCCCAAACTATAAATTTTGCTTTGATAGCCTTTCCATTTCCTGTCCTTGATCCAAGAAGACAGATTTTATGCTGAAAGGTGTTTGTGTGTGTTTTTCTATTTTATACCTCAATACTCATGAAAGATTAAAACCTGGAAACTTAATTTTCTCATCATGTCACCAGAGTCTACTAGATAATATTCTCTAGGGTAAAAGATAGAAAGAATCTCAGAAATATGTGCGCTAGCCCCCAACTAAAGAGGGTATTAAGTTTTAAGTGCAAGATAGAAATTCTTCTTGTGCCCATTACCTATTGAAATGGCAGCCAGATGATAAACTGGGTGAAAACCCATCTATTCAAAGGGATGCTTCATTTTTTATAATGAATGCTGTCTTCTTTCACTATTCTGGTAGCTCTTTCCAAAGAGCCACTACTGCGAGGAACAACTCATACTTACTGTAAACACTGCTTTTAAAAAGTGGCCATGGTGGATGGATGGTTTTAAAGATCCCAAATAATGCCCACTTTATAGATGATGACATGTGCTTGTTCAAACCTGACGGTTGGTCTCCTCTCCAGGTATGACAGAGATGGTGCGTAAAATCACCCTGAGCAGAGCTGTGAGAATTATGCAGACCCTCTTCCCCGAAGAGTACAACTTCTACCCTCGCTCGTGGATTCTACCTGAGGAGTTGCAGCTCTTCACAGCTCAGGTAGATGGCACTCTGTCCCCACGACCCCTGAATTATTTGTGCTTGTGACTGATTGTATCCTGAGTCCTGTGTGCGAGGAGCTGGGCTGAAGGAACCCCAGGAAGCTGAGCCTGATTAAGAGGGGGACTCGTGGGTATATGGTGGGTGTTGGCAGTATGCAGAGTTGAATGGGGAGGGTGAGAGGGTGACAGGTAAGTCCACTGAAGAAGTGGGTCTTGCCATGAGAGGACAGGTCTTAGTGATACCAGAAGTAGAACATGGAGACTGGGGCCATTTGGGAAAACCGTAGGAGAGGGATGCCCCAACTTGCAGTGGTATAAGATGGAGGGTGTTGGGCTCTTGCCTAAAGGCTAGGGAACTAGTCTGACAACCTGTAAGTGAGTCTCTTCAAGAGTCCTGCTTTGAATTTGTTCCAGAATCAATTCTCAAATGCCCGGCCTGTGGCACTTATAAGCAAAGTGTTTGAGCTTGGAATCCTTCAGAGTTTTTGCCACTGATTGTGACATAGAAGAAGTAGGGAAGAAGTGTTCAAAATTGCTATTCTGTTTAGTCTCTTACCAGACTATTTAGAATGATTTCACATTCTTTGGCAAGATGTGCAGTCCATACCATAAACATGAACTGCGGGGTCGCTGTGCAACAAAGGTCTGTCTAATTATGGCAAGGCAGTTATCTCTGGGTGGGCCTGCTGTGTTCCAGACATTGGGCTAGAAGCATGATTACTTTTCATCTTCACCCTAACCTTATGGCACGTTTTTGGTTTTGTTGTTGTTGTTGTTGTTGTTTTAAAGATCTCCATTCCATGGATAAGGTCCATGAGGCTTTGGGAAATTTAATGACCTGCTCAGGAAATAAGCCTTAAGTCTAGCACTGACTCGTAGGCCTGTGGTTTTCATATGTTTTGTTGTCTTCATATTGGTTTTAATGTTGAACTACAAAACCTATAATAAAATTATGATTTACTACACACAAAACAGCTTGAAGTACTAATTTTTAAATGGAAGCACTCCAGGAGGCAGCAGTCGTATGGGTTTGTAAACATTTTTTTTTAAATCATCCAACTATTAACTTACACCAGGTGCATTTCATTGCATGTAAATTATGCTCCAATAAAGTTAATTTAAGAAATAACTATTAGCTGTTCTCTGTGCTCTCTCCAATCTCTCACTTCTGTGGCTTTACTCCACAGATGCCTTTCCTTCCCAGGTCCACAGCTATCTATGTCTATTAGCAAGGCTAATTAGGTAGCTCCAACTGTATTAAAAATTAAAAGAGCTGATGCCAGTGGCTCACACCTATAAGTCTAGCAACTCAAGGGGCTGAGACTTGAGAATCATGATTTGAAGCCAGCCCTAATAGACAAATCTTTGAGACACTTATATCTCCAATTAATGAGCAAAAAGCCCGAAGTGGGGGTGTGGCTCAAGTGGTAGAGCACCAGCCATGAGCAAAAAAAGCCAAGTGAGAGTGTGAGGCCCTGAGTTCAAGCCAATAGTGTCAGCACACATTAAAAATCTAATAGAATTAATAAGATCGTCAATCGTCAAAAGTCAAACCTGTAACATTCAAGAAGAGGGAAGTTCAAGGCCAGCCCAAGGGAAGTTTTTATTGCCAGACCATATTTGAAAAGAAACAAAACCAAAAACAGTAAAAGGACTGGTGGTACGTCTCAAGTGGTGGAATGCTTGCCAAGTAAACAGGAGGCATGAATTCAATTCCCAGTACCACACATATACACACAAAAAATAAGGTTAGATAAGTAGACTTATATGGTATGTGCTCTTTTGAGTTTTTTCGTGTTAGAATTCTGTTTTTGAGACTCATCCATGCATTTTGTATATCTCAGTTATCTATATTTTCTTTATTATTGAATAGCTTTCCAGTGTAGGAATTATCACAATTCCTTTATCCACTTAGCATCTGATGGCATCTGGGTTATTTCCAGTTTGTGGATATTAAAAATAAAACTGCCATGACTATGTAAGTTATTTTCTAGATGGGTGTTTTTTGGTGTAATATCCAGAAGTGACATTTTGTGTCATGTTATATGTGTATATTTATCTTTGTAGGAAATTGCCAAACTTATTTTTAAAAATCTTTAGTTACATGAAGGAGTTTCAATTTTACAGTTGGCAAACAGTTCTTGTCATAAATAGATGCTTATTCTCATCATATGCCTCTTCTGTGTTTATTGAATTGATCTTATGATTTATTCTTTATTTTGATAATGTGATGAGTTGATTGAATGATCTTTTAAATGGTGCATTCTTGATATAAATGTCATTTAGGTATTCTCCTTTTTATATACAGATGAACCCCCTTTGCAACACATTAATATTTTGTATGTGTATTCATAAGACTAGCTGATATGTAACATTTATATTTGGTTTTGGTATGGGGCTAATGTATGCCTTTTGTTAAAAGAATTGGCAAGTATTTCTTCCTCTACTTAGTTGCAAGTTTTGCTATTATTAAATGCTCAAAAGAATTTACTGTCAAATGTATTTGGGCCTGGGCTTTCTTTTGAGGAATATGTGAAGTTGTAGGATCATTTTTTCCAATAGATATAGTTAACTTGTGCCTTTCAAAGAATTAGACTGTCTTATCTCACTTGACATCAAAATATTTTAAATAATATTGTTGTGGTAAGTGGTAATTTTTCTGTTTTGAAGTGACAGTCTAGTTAAGAATTTATCATTTTTACCAATCTTTTAAAAGAATCCACTTATGATTTTATTTTCTTTGTTCATTTAATCATTGATTTATTTTAATGTAATGTCCTTCTTTCTATTTTTTAGTTTAAATTGCTTCTTTTTCTTAACTTTTAAAGGAGCCAACATAGGATTACTAACTTTTAAACTTTAAGCAATAAAGTTTGCAGTATTCTTTTTGAGTGCATCTCAGAAATTTGTATATATTACATTTTCATTATCATGTGGTTTGAGCGTTTACTAATTTACCTTAAGGTTTGCCTTGGATTATTTAGAAATGTGTTGCTCAATTTTACAATAATTTTGAGATTTTCCAAGTAATTCTTGGGCTAGGAAGGTGGCTCAGTGGTAGAGTGCTTGCCAAGTAATTTTTGTTTTTGATTTCTAATTTAATTTAATTAATATCAAGCACTACTTTCTTTTTCTTGAGGGGAGGGTACTTTCTAAGGCCGCATTCTACCAATTAAGCTATCCCACCTTTCTTTAGTTTGATTTTCAGAGAGGGTCTCACTTTTGCCCTGGTCTGGCTTCAAACTGTGATCCTCTTACTTCCACTTTTGGTGTAGAGGGAGTTACAGGCGGATGCCACCGCATAGAGCTTGTTTTGAGCAATAGGGTCTCATTAACTTTTTCTTTTTTTCACCCTGGCTTCAAACTGCGATCTCCATTCCTGGTTCCCATATATCTGAGATCATAGGTGTGCCTCACCATGCCTATCAAAAAGTACATCCTTCATCACTTTGATCCCTTTACATTTAATAACAATTTTTCTTACGGCCTATCTTGATGAATGTTTGCATGCACTTAAAATAATTTGTGTTCTGGAGTTGTTGGCATACCAACAATTATGGCAAGTTGGCTCTTGGGAGCATCCCATTTTTCTTTCTTACGTACTACCTACATGTTCTACCACCTACTGAGTGATGGTGAAATTTCCAGCTTCTCTCTTTCATTATATCCGTTTCCACCAAGTAATTTGGAGCTCTAGGTGTAGCTTTATGATTTGACTTTCTTATAAAGTAACTTTCCCTGTCATGAAGTCTGCTTTGTCTGATATAGTATGGCACCCTCCAAATTTCTTTGGCTTAGTACTTGCACAAGATAGCGCTTACCCTTCTCTTACTTCCACCTTGTCTTCAGGTTTAAAGAGTGCTTCTTGTTGGCTTGCACTTGAGTTACTGCCTTTTATCCAGCTTGACAATCCCTGCCTTTTAATTAGTGTGTCCATTTATATTTAGTGTGTAATACCACCTAAGATTCACCTCTAACACCTGGCCATTTCTTTTTTAATTAATATTTTGAGATTTTACTTTTATCTTTTTAGTTTTGGTCTTAGGACTTAGAATCTAAGATTTAAATTATGTCTTTAATTTAGCATATTTACCTGTTGTTATCTCAAGCAAAATCTAAATACCTTACTATAGCATGCATCTATTTTTACTACATCTTACATGCTCTTGTCATATATCATCTAATTCCATAACACATGCTTATTATTTAAGCTTTGAAAAGTTAACTTTTCCTTCCTTCCTTTTTCTTTTTTCTTCCTTTTCCTTCCTTCCTTCCCTCCTTCCTTCCTTCTTTGTATTTTGATATATAGTCAAGGCTGGCATCAAACTCATGGTCTTCCTGCCTTAGCCTTTCAAGTACTGGCATTATAGGTGTTGGTTAACCACACCTGGTTAAAAAAAAGTTAAGTATCTTAAAGAAGCTAAAAAAAAGTATATTTGCTGGGTGCTGGTGGCTCAGGAGGCTAAGATCTAGGGATTGTAATTGAAAGCCAGCTTGGGCAGGAAAGTCCATGAGACTCTTATCTCCAAGTACCTACCAAAAAGCCAGAAGTTGAGCTGTGCTCAAGTAGTAGAGCATTAGTCTTGAGCAAAAAAGCTCAGGGACAATGCCTAGGCCTTGAGTTCAAACCCCAGCACTGGCACCAAAAAGAAAACAAAGCCACGTATGTCTATTATACTTTCCCTAGATAAACTTTCCATTCATAATGCTCTTCATTCTTTTGCATTGGTCTAGAATTCTCTCTTATGGTATTATCCCTTGGCCTGAAGAATTTCCATGGTGCAGTCCAGATCTGTTGCTGACAATGTTCCTCAGCTTTTGTTTATCTAAAAACTTAATTTTTGTGTGTAATAATTCTAGATTTAACAAAAAGTTACAAAAAATAGTACAATGTTGGTTGCTGTATACTTTTCCCCAATGTTAGCATTTTCTATAATTACCCAGACTGGGACAGGAACATTGACGTGACATTGTTAGATGTTATAGCTTATTGGGATT